AATACAATAAATAATCAATCACAGTGCTTATAATTGGCACTGCCTTCCTAAATAAAATGCATAGATAATGGCCTTGTTTGGTAACTTTTAAATGACTTTTATTATACTGAGTTTCACAATAAGAAATACATTTTAAGTCATATCCTTTTGTTGTTTTTTGAGACAAAGTCTCACTCTGTTGCCCAGGCTAGAGTGCCATAACCTCAGCTTAGCTCACAGCAACCTGAAACTCTTGAGTTCAAGCAATCCTCCTGCCTCAGCCTCCCAAGTAGCTGAGACTATAGGCACACACCACTGTGCCTGGCTAATTTTTTTTTTTCCTGTTTTTAGTGGAGACAGGGGTCTCAGTCTTGCTCAGGGTGGTCTTGAACTCCTGTGCTCAAGGGATCCTCCAACCTCAGCCTCCCAAAGTCCTAGGATTACAGGCATAAACCACCATGCCCTACCTAAATTATACCCTTTAAACACAGGTTTGTGTGCGCGCGCGCACACACACACACACACACACACACACGGCTTGAAGCTTGTAGCTCAGAGGCTAGGGTGCCAGCCACATACACTAGAGCTGGTGTGTTTGAATCCAGCCCTGGTCTGCCAAACAACAATGACAACTACAACCAAAAAATAGCTAGGCATTGCGGCAGGCACCTGTAGTACCAGCTACTTGGGAGGCTGAGACAAGAGAATCGCTTAAGCCCAAGAGTTTGAGGTTGCTGTGAGCTGTGACAGCACAGCACTATACCAAGGGTGACATAATGTGACTCTGTCTCAAAAAAAAAAACCCAAAAAAAGCACATACACACACTCATATTTTACATTTATGTAGGCATAATGGATATGTGTAAGCATGTGTATGAGATGGAAACAACAAACAGAGTTTCACTAAACAACACCCTTACTGTTTGTAATTTACTTGAATATTTTCTATTCTACTTTTTTTTTTTAATGCTGGTTGCAACCCGCTAATTTGATTCCATAGCTCATTAATAGATTGTGACGCACATTTTTAAAAGCTCTGCTCAACTTAATAGAGTTGTGTCTCTTTCCCAAGTTGCGTGAACTGGAATGCAGCAGTGAAACAGGGTGTAAGTAAATGGCGCCAAAACAAGGCTGTGTCTCCAAGAGGTGACAACACAAACTCTTTGGGATCAGGCTTTGTTTTTCAAAGGTCTATTGCTCTGGAAAACACTCTGACACACCGGCTTAACCTATCATTCCTCACAAAGAAAAACAATTAAATTTGAGATTTTAAAAAATTGAATAACAATATAATCCAGGAATATTAGTTCATAGTTAGTTCATAGTTTGAAGTTGGGAGCTGAAACTCCTGTGTTGGGGAAATCACCCTAACCTGGGGATCGAACCTGGATTCTTATCCTGGCTGTCACTTGATCAGCTCAGTCTATCTTGCTCAACTCACTGAAGCTGTTTTCTCTTTCAGAAAAATGGGAAAAATACCATTTTCATTTTTTTCTTAGAGATAATTTTGTAAAGGCTCTTAAGAAAATCTGAAGTTCTGTATTAATGTGGGCCTTGAATCTTTCTCGTAATATTTGCGGAGTTAAGCTTTATACTTGCTCAAGGTCCCATAGCCAGGGAAAGCTTTTTCTCCACTAAATATATTTATGTAAAAAAGCATAATTATTATTCTCTCCCAGAATATCTGGGTTAGAAATTTTACTACTTTTCAGTTACATACCCAAGGTGTCTGATAGTTTTATAGATAATTCTACTGTGTTTCCCTGAAAATAAGATACTGTCTTATATATGTTTTTTTCTCAAGAAGACACACTAGGGCTTATTTTCAGGGGATATCTTCCTCTCTGCCCTGAAATGCATGGCGTGGCTATGCAGTGTATCACTAGGTCTTATTATCAGGGTAGGACTTATATTTAACCAATGCATAGAAATCCTGCTAGGGCTTATTTTTTGGGTAGGCCTTATTTTCAGGGAAACATGGTAATATCTAAGATAATTGTATATTAGATTAAGTTGTTGATGCAAATCTGATTAGTTTTATGCATATGGGAAAACCAATGGCAGAAAAATCTGTTATGAAAATGCTCCAACCGATTTGTGTTAATAGACTCAGCGAGAAAACGATCAAGTAAAGAGAAACAGAAGAAAAGGCAGGGTTTCTCTCACAGTGATAACTAGCAGTGATTCATCCAACTGCACCTCCCATTTTTTGCTTTATAGTGATAATTTTTAAGGAGAAGACATTATATTTAAATAGCCCCTAAAAGCTTGAGGCTGAAGAGGGAAGGGATGTAAGCTGACTTCATGGTCAGGAGAGGCCAATATGCTAAGTACAAGGTCTTGTTAACTAAATTGGAGACATTGATTAAGTATTAAATACCTCCGAAATGCCACAAGAAAACTGTTCTGGGCAGTTTTCTTACTTTACAGTCATAGCTCATATGTTACAATTATTAATATTATAATAATTAATAATTGATATTAAGTCCTTAATAATTAATATTAAGTCCTCTGATGGATCAGGAAATAAGTGCAAAAGTGCTCCCTTTCCTCTCCAGGAAAAGACAAAATCTCGCTATTTAAGTAGCCCTAACATTGCTACTTAATATTTTGTAATCAGTGGTACTTTGTAATTTGTTTTTCTGACCAGGAATTTTGTAGCTATGATTGAAGAATTCAATTCACTTTCACAAAAGCAATTTTTACAAACATATACAGCATCTTCGGTCTGTCTCATTCAAAAGTCATTTGTCAACACCATACTCTGGGTATTTCCAGAGACATGACTGATAATGATGCCTTCACGTCAATGTAATTTAGTGGACCAAAGCCCCGCCCTGCTAAGGGGGCTGGAGCAGGTTACCTAACTGCCCTTTCCAGAATTCTGAAGGTCACCTTGAGTCCTCCTTTCCTCTCACCCACCCAACCTCCGACCCAGGCCAACTGAATCCCTCAAATCTACCAACTCTCTTCTCCTCCTCACCACAGTGAACTCAGGACCCCATCACTCCTGCCTTGATGCACAGAGCAGACCCCACCTGTCTCCCAGCCCCAGGTTTGCCCCTTCCCATCTCCTCCTGTCACTGAGAATCTGAAGGGAAATCTGACCACCTTATTCTGCTGCTAACACTCTTCCTGGCTCCCCACATAGCCTCGATGTGAAGCTCATTCTTGGTCCTTCACTTGTGAAGTGAAGAAAATAACCCTTCTCTGGATTGTTGTGGGGATTAAATGGCATCATGTAAATAAAACTGTTTAAGTGAAACACTTAACAGAGATGGAAATTTTAATTAACCTGACAATATAATTACTTGAGTACTTAAATTGATTTAATACACTGTGTCAGAGGTTTGTCAGATTTTTACAAGTTGAAATTATAAAGTGGTAATATTGATTTTTCTGTACACTATATATCACATGTTATGTCCAAATCAGTACTTAGGTAGGAACAGCAGGAATCAATAATGTCCAAAATAATAGTTTGTCCATAATTCATATGCTGGATTTGGTGATATATAGACAAAGCTATACTCCTGATTCTTTTTCTCAAAACCCTGTCAAACTACAGATCTACCTCTTTAAAAGATGTGTCTAAATAGGGTTTCTCATTTTTACAGAAAACTAAAATGAAATACCAACAATCTGCAAATACTTATTAAGTCAGAAATCCTCCAAACAGAATAACATGGTATCAAGTAAATATTCAATAATAATTAACTGATAACCAGATAATATGTACATAGTGTCTGAGGAAATGAATGGCTTTTTATTAATCCCAGAGACAATCCTCTGAATCATCAGAAGATTTATTTATTTTAATAAACCTGCAATGGAAGTGTTTGATAAAAAATGGAAACAGAAGACCAAGTTTTCTCAGAAAGAGAATTAATAAAATAATGAAAACAGAAGTACATAAAATGTTAGCCTATTTGAAAAAGTCAAAATCAGGCTGACAGCAGCTAAAAAGAAGTTACTGTCAATATTTTCCAACTGTTCTCCTGAGACTTATCCTGCACCTGGATAATTACAAATTATGTTTGGGTAAAACATTGTCGAGTTGCTTTATTTCAAAAACTTAAAAGAAAATCCCACCAAAATGTTAATTCTTTTGTACTGCCTCCAGTGTAAAGCCCTAGCTCTGTAACCCACCAGGAATTAGACCTACGACGTATATTTAGCTATTGATGCTGATGTTTGGTTGTTTTGTTTTTTAACTAGATCTTGTGCCCAAAGTGCTGAATAATTTGCTTTATATTCTCTAGAGTCTTATTTTGTTGTTTATTGCTCCTCAACAAGATTTGAAGATTGGCTAGAACTAAGCAAGGAAGAACAAAGCGACAGGCCATTTTTATTATTCTTTCTTAGGGATCCAATTTTATAGCGAATTTATGTTTCATAAAGAACTATGCAGTTTTTCCCTTTGAATATTACTTTATTTGTTCATTCTCTAAGGAGGGCAAAACAGTATCTTAAAAATCATGAACAAAAATGATTCATTTCCACCCTTTGTACTTCCCACTATACCAGTTCTCATGTCATTATAACATTTGTTTAGTTAACATGACATAATACAACTTTGTCAACTGGAACCAATTTTATAACACTTGAGAGACAACAGCAACATTTATCAACTTAGTGGAAAAAACAATATTTTACAATTCCAGCATATAAGATAATGCAACTGTGTTAAAGGACAACAATCTTGTATTCTGTGTTAGGCTTCTCAATAATTAAGAAATAGAACTAAAAATCTGGTCATTCATAAATTTATCCAGTCACGTGCCAGACACCAGGCTGGGTAATGTGGGCACAGAGGTGAACAAAATAGACCGGGGACCCTCCTTTCGTGGAGCACACAAATGACTGGGCCTTGAAGACTCACTCAAGAAAGTATCTACGATTAATTAGTGTAGAATCTCCTTCCTCCTCACTAGGAAAACCACCTTCCTAATAGACGTGGGTAGATTTTATGACACACCGCAAAGCTACAGCTAACAGAATATAGAAAAGGGAAGTCTTACCATTAATAAATATGTAGATTGTAGATTCTATTTTCTTCTTCTTTGAAGTAGGTATAGCTAGATATTTGCAGCTGTAGAAGCCAGTGTGGTTTGCCTGGGCCGTGTTCAAAGTCAAAGTACTGCAGAATTGTTTGCTGTTCCTTCCACAGGCAGATTTAGTTATGCTCAGCCTTTTGCTTTCCTTACTCACCGTTTCAGGCAAAGACCATGAATGGGCTGCTTCCCCCCTGCAGTCACAGATAAGAAAACAAAGCACAATTAGGGCTGATACCAGGGCTTAGCACCCGTTCCTAAGCATTCATTTTATTAGGAAGCACTATTCTGAGATCCTCCCCTAAGTGTAGTCATCTTCCTCTTTACAGAAAAGAACATATTCAGAAAGGCTTTTAAACAATACTCAGAATAAAGATGCAAAAACTGCTGGGGCAACCCTCCCCCCATCTCCCTCTGAATGAGTCATGCTCTCCCTCCCATGTGAAGCTGGCTACGTGAAGCTGGATATGTACAGCTTGCTCTTTGCAAATCACACAAGATCCTGAAGTCTCTACCTTTCTACTCTGAGAGGCGACCTATCTACTCTGCCAGGGGATGATTTTGCCATGGGAAAGGCAGCTGGATTATTCCTAAGCCCACACAGTCACTTACCTGCACTTGAGATACAGCGTCTGGCCTGCTTGCATGATGTGCTGGGTGCCTTTTAAACTCAGTTCAGGACCTTTAAATTTTGAACCTGAACTAGATCCTGGAAAACAAATTTTTAAAATGTATTATTTGCAAATTGCTTTCTCATCTTTTTCTTTTTTTTTTTTTGAGACAAAGTCTTTGCTCTGTTCCCCTGGGTAATGTGCTACCTTCAGTGGCATCATATCATCATCGCTCAGCACAACCTCAGACTCCTGGCCTCAAGCAATCCTCCTGCCTCAGCCTCTCAAGTAACTGGAACTACAGATGCCACACTACCATTCCTAGCTATTTTTTTCCATTTTTCATAGAGACAAGGTCTCACTCTTGCTCTGGCTGGTCTCAAACTCCTGAGTTCAAGTAATCCACCCGCCTCGGCCTCCCAGAGTGCGCACTTGGCCTCTTTCCATAAAGGTGAGTTTTCATCTTTAATTTACTTACATATGCAAATAGATACACGGAACACGAATTTCTCTTAGTTTTAGTCTAAGGCTTGTTCATTACATATTACATGTCCTTTTACACCAAATGTCCTAAATAATATCCAAAAGGCCATTTATTTAGAAGTTAACATATTCATATACAGTCCAAAATGTAATCATATTAAAAATATATAATAACTTATTAAAAACTTTAAAGGTCAAATATCAGTATTATCAGCAAGCTATTAACACTGAATGTCTCTAGCTTGGGGCCTCTGGTCCTACAGGCCTGTCTGATCTTTCTTCTGAATAAAAAGTATAGCCATTTTCCTGTGTTCTAAACTAAGCTTAATCATTGGTTGAGCAACGATATTGTGGGCCAATAATTTCCTTTTCTGAATTAGTTTCCTCATTTGGAAAACTAATTTTAGAATCAGAATCAGTTTTAGAAGCTATTTGGTTTGTCCTACGCAATCTACAAGTTCCCTCCATAATGGTCCAGTAAAAAGGGAACTGTTCACACTCTTACGTGACATCTGTCAAGTCTGTCTCACAGAGGCTTGTTGTGGGGCAATGGAATAAGGTAGGTGCCAGCACTTTATGATCTATACACCTCTATACAATGCAATAGTGATGTCCACCTGACTCACTAACTGTGTGACCCCAGACAAGTCACTGAGCTCTCCAGATCTCAGTTCTCTTAGCTGTAAAAGAGAGATTGCACTAGATGACTTGGCTCTCTGACCTCTGTTTCTGATGTCCCAGTCTCAGGATTCTTTGAGCCATAGGTGCTATAGAGGTTGGGCCTCCCTCGCACTCTCATTGACCACTCAGAAGAACGTCAGTAAGGATTGTTCCTGCCTCCTCCTTCCCCTCACCTCTCAAACTCCTCTCTTTCTCTTCTCCCTCTTCTTCCCCCTCCTCCCCTTCTAGCTGCAAGGCCTGATAAGAGCAGGAGATCAGGGGTGAGGATTAGTGCTTCTTAGGCAGAGATAGGGGTTGGGGGAGGGAGGAAACATACTCTTAGGGGGAGAAAAGTTTAGTATTTTGCACCAATCTTTGGGAATATTTTTACTTAAAAAATAGGTTTATAGAGTGGAAGTCGAGGTAGAAGGTGGAAGAGGACGGGCCTCTAGGTTTCAATGGTGGGTGCTGATCTACGAGAGCAGGTACCTATGTCAAACTCCATGGCTACCCCCAGCACTGTTCCTTCATGCTTCTCTTGGATCTTGGTCTCTCAAGGAAAACCTGACTCAGTTAAGAGATGTGCAGAATCTTGAAAAGTTAAGTTAAAAGATGCTAAGCTTTTCTACACTATGGGCACGGCCTTAGCATCACTTAATCAGCTGCTCCTTAGTGTGTTCACAAGTCCACCTGGAGGGGTGTGGATTCAGGGTCAGGTAAGTGGCTAGCTTGTTCCCTGGCCCCTGGCACACACCCCTGTCACTGACATCTAGTGGAATCATTTCTCTGCCCCCCTCCTCTGTCAAGAGTATTTTGCTGGGTATGTAATAGCAAAGATCTTAAATTAATATTTTAGGAGTAACTTTTGTAGACAATAGGTCCAAGTATCAAAGTACTAGTATCTAAGTACTAGTCCTAGTGTCAAAGTACTCCTAGATAAACTGGCTCAATAGTAACCAAATTAAAATCACTGTTTCATATACATTCAACTAGTCTATTAAATAACCTCATAGAACGAGCCAGCTCATTCAAAGACCTAAGGAACATTTTGCACTTTACTCGTCTTCATGCATTTCTTAGGCAATATGTAGGTCAAAATCAATGATCCATGGGCATGCTAGCTTTTTCTGAAAGCCACAGCCCACAATTGATAATGCCTGCTCTGAAAAGTTTCCAGACCAGAATAGTTTCTGCCCTGCTTTACAGCATGGCACCCCGGGGTTTAATTGAGCGATTGTTCATGTGCTGGGAAAGATCCATCAAAGCTTCCTGTGGAAAATTCTGGCATTACTTATAGTTATCTCTCTGGTCTGAGGGGAGAGGCTTGAGCTTTCTTTTCCAGGAGAGACCCTGGGGACTCAGTCCCCACTGTTCACGATATCAAGCAAATCCCACTGCCTGATATTGGATTTCCAATTCATATAAATTGTTCTTTATCAGTAACCTAGAATACTAGTACTCTTGCCCGTCATCAGAGAAAGTCTCTAACCTCAAAGAACCACCCAAAGCCCAGTTGTCTAAGGAAGATACCTTAAGGAGTGTGCCCCCTACTCATTCCTCTCTGTACTCCATGTGCCAACGTAGGTGACAACACAAACGAGTGGGCATGAGACACTGGAAAAGTTTGGGGGCAAAATACCGGAACACTATTTTGCTATATAATTTGTCTCCACTAATGTTAATGAATTTTACATTTGGAATGAGGAAGTTAGGTAAAAGTAGTTAATTTAGCAAAGGGTAAGAACAATATAAGGAAACTGTATTTCCAAGGAACTGGTGGCTTTGAGTATATCACCCTTCTTCAGTTAATAGGAAACTAGAATCTCACAAAGAATAATGGAAATGCTGAGACTATAATTTAACTGGAAAACTAACAAGGAAAATAAACTATTTATTCTTCAAGGGCCTTGAAATCACATTATTAGGCATTAAAACGTTTCTTTGAGGCCGTTTGATGTCCACATACATACGTGAGTAATGAAGATTCAACTCACAGTCTTTGAACATCTGCTGCATGTCAGACACTTTGCCCATCTCATCAGGGATAAATGTAAAGATCCTTGTATGTATCCTTAAACATTTACATGTTGACACCCTCTCAGTCAGCCCGTCCCTGTAGCTCAGAGTCATCCCACCCTTTCAGATGATAAATCCACAGGGCATTTCATTCTCAAGGGTGGAGTGCTATAACCCAACAATGATTCCACCATTGTGAAGCTTGGATGGGGATCAAAACTTTCCACTGTTTGCCATGGTAGCCTAAAATCTGATTTAAAAGAATGAGTTTGTATTCTCAATAATGATTTTGTCCCTTTTGTGAACTATTGTTTTCATCAAAGTCAATTATAATATAATCATGAGGGGCGCACAGTTCTCCTTATGTCTGGAAAAATTTTGTTTAAATAAAACAAAACAAAAAGCTCAATACAGATCATGGCAATGGCCTTTATCACATGCTTCTTTGATAGAAAAATCTATTAGGGTTAAGCATTGTGGGCTAATAGGATTAAGAAAACAACATGTGAACGTGGACTCTGAGCTACTGGGACGGGCTGACTGAGAGGGTGTCAACATGTAAATGTTTAAGGATACATACATGGATCTTTACATTTATCACACTTGCTGGGCACCATGACTCATGCCTGAAATCCTAGCACTCTGGGAGGCCATGGAGGGTGCAATGCCTGAGCTCAGGAGTTCAAGACCAGCCTGAGCAAGAATGAGACCCCATCTCTACTAAAAACAGCTTTTCTGTCTACTAAAAATAGAAAAACTCGCTGGGTGTTGTGGTGGGCTCCTATAGGCCAAGCCACTTGGGAGGTTGAAGCAAGAAGATTGCTGAAGCCAAAGAGTTTTAGGTTACTGTGAGGTATAATGCCAAGGCACCCTAGCCAGGGTGACAGAGTGAGACTCTGTCTCAAAAAAACAAACAACACCCCACCATCACAGATACTTTGTACTGATTTTACCTGAATATTTTCTTCACTGTTTTTCTGTTCAACATTAGCTGGCAGGTGGAATAGAACTTTATGACTCTGAACAAAATCCCTCTCTCCTTCCCTACATGCCAGACATGAGGTAGAAAGCTGCACAGATTGTTCTAAAATGACACCCTCAAGTCCTCACCTTAATTTCTTTTTTTTTTTTTTTTGAGACAGAGCTTCAAGCTGTCACCCTGGGTAAAGTGCCATGGCATCACAGCTCACAGCAACCTCCTCCAACTCCTGGGCTCAAGCGAGTTTCCTGCCTCCGCCTCCCAAGTAGCTGGGACTGCAGATGCCAGCCACAATGCTGGGCTATTTTTAGTTGCAGCCGTCATTGTTGTTTGGTGGGCCCAGGCTGGATTCTAACTCACCAGCTCAGGTGTACGTGGCTGGCTCCTTAGCTGCTTGAGCCACAGGTGCCGAGCCCCCATCTTAATTTCATAGGCAAAAGGGAATGCTTTCTTTGACTTCCATGGGAAAAATGAACAAATTTCTAAGTAAAATATAGCTTTATTTTGCAACCAAATCCAAAGCCCCAAAGATTGAGACTCTTTAAACATTCTTAAGCTATCACCGTAGACACTTGAAAGAGCAAACTCCCGCTAGGGGTCATTATGAAACAGGCAGCCTTGCTATCACTTTTAAGACTTAGAGAACCAACTTGAGCAAGAGCAAGACCCTGTCTGTAAAAAATAAAAATAAAAAAACCCACGCGTTGTGATGGGCGGGTGCCTGCAGTCCCAGCTACTAAGGAGGCTGAAGCAAGAGGATCACTTGAGCCCAGGAGTTTGAGGTTGCTGTCAGCTGAGGCCATAGTGCTCTACTGAGGGTAAAAGTGAGACTGTCTCAAAAAAACAAAACAAACGAAGCAAACAAAAGATTCAGAGAAGACTCTTAGTAAAGTCTGACTAAAAGTGTCTTTAGAAAACTGCTATTTTTATTAATTTAAAGAACAACAGTGTTTGCTAGCT